ACTGACTGTATGTGCAATGGAGGTCAGGACAGAGATCGCGTCGGCTGCTGCACACAGACAAGTCATGTTTTCAAAGATGGTGTTTTGTGGTCGCTACATCTTCTGGGCTTTGGTGGAGTCTCAATCAATTCCCAGCCAGTGGCTCAGCTGTCCTATCATGACTATAGATGCACATCATTGTGCCGTGTCAAACGATGATGCTAGAGTTGCTGGAGAACAGTGTCGGATTTCGTGCTATCTGGTGAACAAACCAGATTTGCTAGTAGCTAGCTAGACCATGGGATTGGGTCTCAAGACTATGGGTTGGATCGTTGGATCCAGCTTGTTGCTTGTGACAGCTAGCTGGTACCGGTACCAGTACTTTGTACCGTGGTGCTAGTACCGGTACACCTACCGGTACCGTACGGTACGGGTTCTCTCTATCCGGTACGCTACCTGGTACATGTACCGGTACGGCCGTACGGTACGGTACGTCGGTCTACTAAGTACATCAAGGAGCGAACACGAGTCTCAGTCCTGCTTTGCGCTAGCTAGCTAGCTAGCTAGGTGCCTACCATACAGCACTGCCTACCATACAGCACTGCATTTTCTCATGGCAAAACAACTAAGTACTGAGTTTATCTAATTCCTAAGGCATTCTTCAGCTCCTGTTGGAGGTTGTTTTCTCCCTTCTCTTCTTGAGGTCTCTAGATATTTCTAGGATCTTTGCTCTGGGGTAGAGCTTTTCGACGAGGCTGATTGCAGCACCAGCATTAAGACGATTGGCCACCAAATCGTTCAACATAAAATACAATCCCTTTCTCCTGTAGTACGTGTTGTTGCCAGGAAGTGATTGCTCTGCTGGGATCCAATCTTTGACTGGCTTGCAACCATTAATACCGGTAGACCACTCTTGCCAAATGTCTCCAACTGTTTTGAGATTCTTCGTGATTTTGGCTGGACGATCGTCAGTTGCAGTAGTCAAACGTTCTCTTCTACGTCTTCCATGATTGTCTCTCCTTTCTACTAGCCCAAGAGAAGCAAAGTTTTGTGCCCGTCTTCCAGGTGATGCCATTCTCGGTGGTTGTACCTGAATTGTTGCAAGATTCCGGTCAACCCTATCAAAGCGGCCATCCATGTATTGCCGTTGGTTTTGAAACAGATTTGTCATATTTTGTTGAAACATGTTGAGTTGCTGTAGATGGCTTTGTTGGTTTTGGTGTATTCTCATAACCATATCTTCGAGCCATTGCGATGGAGGAGCTGCTTGTTGCTGCTGCTGCTGCGGCATTGCCGGTGGTTGCTGGTGTTGTGTGTTGTTGTAATTACATTCTCGAATTAAACACTCGTCATTGTGACGGGTAACCTCCAGCCGGTTCTTGACCACAGGGTTGATTCCATCTGGCAACTGCTGTATCTCTGTATATGCTTCCCTTATCTCAGCTCGTTGATGCCCATCCATTCGTCCTTCCATTTCATCTGAAAGAGCAGCCCACAAAAGAGGTCGAGCAAGAATCAAAGCTGGATTACGAGCATTGCCATCACCTCCAAAGAACTTGTGCATTTCGGGAACCACGTATTCCTTGAGCCAGTTGTCAGTAACATTGGTAGCCTGGCCATGTACGCGGTAGGCAACAGGATTATCAAGGCAAAGAACTCTGGCAACATTAGCATCAATAAAAGGTTGATCGGGCGATACATAATGGCCAGCTGCAACCTTGTGCTTCGTAGCAGTGTCGCCTTTCCATCTTCCACGACCATCAACATCCCGCATACTAACACCGAAGCGCTTTGCCAAAGTGGCAGCATACTTTCGAATGCTGTGACTCCCAATCAAACCACCGATGGTACTGGAGATTGCTAGGAAAACCTCACTTTCAAAGATTGACTTCAGGCAAGTGCGATATCGGCTGCACAGCTTTTTTGTCGGTGAATTCTTCCTGTTTTTCTCCAGTTCTTCAGGTTCCCAGTTTCGCCCTTCAGGTGGTGATGGATCGAAATCATCAGTAAAGAGGTATGCCTTGTCGAAACCAGAACAAGCTCTCCCTCGAGCAATTGCCTCTTCCAAATAGATTGCCAAAGCCAAATGGGTACAGTATTGAGTATCCATTGCTCCCAACAAAATTTGAGGAGGGCAGTCTCGTTCATCTTTAACATTCTTGGACCATTCAACTGTCAATTCCAATGCAAAGTCATGCTTTGAATGGGGCTTAATTTGATTCATGAATAGCTGCGACACATCAGATCCCCGAGCAACAATATGCAATTGGAGCACCAGCATGCAGACAATCAAACAGCTTTTGATAAAGCTGAACGTAGATTGTAGAAGTTCAATGGTTTTGCGGAACTCGACCTCATGAAGCTCCCGCCTTGCCTGGGATTTCTTTCCGCGCTTCTCTCTTTCTGCCTGCCTAATAGCTTCAATCAGTTTGTTGACTGGTTTGGATCGCGTAGGATTGCCCGATGCCCCATTCCAAGGAAAGTCATCCGGCATGTAGTGGGAGATGGCACTCTTAATATGAAGAATGCCATTTGATCTTCTCTTGGGATTGTCAACTTTGTAGTTCACATCATCCACCTTTTCATATGTCAACATGTGAAGATAATCTATCACATGGTGCGGCTTGATTAACCTCCTAATTTCAACAGGATTGAACGTTGCATTCTTCTTAAACTTTCTCCCAAATGTGTGGTCCATAAAACCAATGAAAGCAGACTGATATTGTGGATGTGGACGGGTAACTTGCTCTGCTGGAGCTTCGGCCAACTCTGGCAAATTCAATTCGGTGGCAACAGTTCTTCTGTTGGGACGTGGTAGTGGTGGTGATGGTGGTGGTGGTGGTGGTGGTGGCACTAATGGTAGTCGCCGGCGCCCATTTGTCATTCTCTTTACTTTGCAGGTGTTGCATAATCTGCCATGACCATGACCTTCACCGACCCCAGCATCGAATCCACAAAATGGATGCATGTGAGCGTTGCAATCAGGGCATTTGTGGGTATCCTCACACAGAATTCCACATCCACCACCACAAGCAGCCAAAAGCTTGCCATTTGCAGAAAAACGAGGAATGCCAAAGTCCCCAATGCCAGCAGCCAGACCATTCATCTTGAGCTTCTTTGCTGATGACAAGTTTTTATGTTACATTGCCGGAGATGGATGGATTACTCGCTCGGCGGGAGATTGAAGATTCAAATCTTCAAGGTTAAGCCAGCAAGCTGGTTTGATATGAGACATCCTTCAACTTCCAAGCATTCCTTGCCGAACCCGGGAAAAGAGGTCATTGGAGACTGCAGACTGCAGAAAAACCACTAAGTCTTCGAGTCTGTTTTGCAGAAAACATCGCAAAAAAGAGGCTGCAAAAAGCCTTCTATATTATTCCCGGGATATCAAACATTATTGAAAAAAACCATGTTGTCCACAAGGAAGGCTCAAGGACTTAATGGGCGGGTATGCCTACCTATTGGGGGGGTACTGAGGCCACTAAGTAAATGCAGGCATTTCTGCAAATCCGGGACATTAGAGTTATGGTCAAGTGTGAAAGTTGAGACGGGCGGGTACGTCAGATATTTCCTAGAGGGTCCCAGCTACTGGTACAGTGTACATTCTTGCTGGTCCAGTAGAGCTGCCTGGACTGTTCTCTTCAAGAAATAATTATTGTCCGTACGGCTGTACTCGTAAAGGAAAGTCAGTTAGTACGACTGTACTCGGAGAGCTATTTATTAATACTCTGATGTACTGAGTACGACTACTGCTCAAGTACTGTGCACTGCGTATCCAGTACAGTAGCTACTAACTGACGACCATCATGTTTTGTTTCCATGGTAAAATATGCGCGAGTAAGGTATTGGCATTGTGGGGAGCTTATATTTGCATGGAGCTGTGCGTGATAAATAGATTTATTCTCATATCCATGCTAAATAATACAATACAGTAATACTAGAATACTAGAGTACACTTTGACCAGTACTGCCGTACTGCCCCATGCTTCTTTCTAAGCTGAAGAAGCGTGAACGGATCGATTCACTCAGTATCACGTGACTCTTATATCTTGAATTTTCCCTGCACAACCAGTGCGTTAATAAAGTCTCCACGTCAGCAAATATAGTGAGACGTTTTGATATCTGACTGGCTCTTTCGTGCGGTTAAACGTGAACCTCTATAAACCCTATGAAGAACGCATTAAATCCTGGTTGAAGATGGTTCCAGCACTATCAAAGGTTCAGTACCAGTGATACATTCTTGATGTTCATCGGCTGCACCACAGGGCACACCGTACCGGCGTACCGGTACCCAATCTTTTTCACAGTGCTTGCCACCAAAGCGTACTAGTAAGCCAATATCCACCATCACTATGAGATCATTCCACCATTCCGCCTGTGCTCTGTACCAATTGCTACTAGGACCTCCCCACCTCGCCTCGTGCCCACACAAGATCAAACTTTTTGTTGTTGGTTTACTCGTCTCATCATAATCCAACAATGCCTCCTCCAGCACCACCCTCATCGTCGCGGGCTTCAGCCCATGATGATGATGCATCTCCAGTATCGGTGGCTGATCGCAAGCTCTTAGTGCCGGAGCCAGCTCATCAGAAAGCCTCGATGCTTTCACCGTCAAAGAAGAAAAAGTACAGCAAGGTATCGGTGGATTCCCTCCTCGACCATGTGGCCGCCTTGGACATCCCTCGAGAGACGGCTGGTGCAGTGGCGACCTCAGAGCGATTGGAACAACTTCGTCGCCTTCAGGAAGAGGGGCAGAAGTCGAGCACTTCACTCATGTCCGAAAGTGGCAGCACTGTTCTCAGAGGCATTGATGGACTATTGGGAGGTGCTCTTAGCAAGAGTGCCCGTCTTGAGCAGGATGATAATGACGATGATGAAGTGCCCAAGAAACGCATCAGTGATTCTTCAAAGGGTACTACCCGGGGCAGAAAGCCCCGGCCTGCCTCTCCTCGTCGGTCCACCACACCACCTGGGGAGCTACGAAAGGGGGTGGCAGACCTGTCCAAGAGCGATCACCCCCGCCCATCAAAGTCCAAGCAACCGAAAAAGCGGATCCAAAAGAGCAAAAGTGGTGGTGAATTGGCAGAACAAGAATCCGAGGAGAATTCCAAAATAGTGCCAAAGTCGAGACGCACGTCTCCGAGGCGAGCCACTACGCCTCCCAAAGCTCTCGAACGGAGCTTGCGGGAAGCATCCATGAGAACCAGCAAATCAGCTCAGAAAAGCAGCAAGAAGACCAAAGAAGACGAGGAGGATGATCCCAGGAAGCGCCATAGTGATCCCATTAAGCCGCCGCTGTCCTCCTCAAGCCAACCAGGAAAGACACGAAAAAGTCGTCGGGCTACCACACCACCCAAGTACCTTGGATCTGATAGTGGTTCTGGCAAAACGACGAAAAAGGCATCACGTACTACTAGTAGTGGAGGGGATGACAGATCGCAAAAGGCGTCATACCACCGAACGACCAGTACAGGGAGTGGTAGCAGCAGTGGAAAGCAACGCAAGCAGAAAAGGGTTACAAAGACAAAGTCTCAGGAGCCAACCGACCAGGACATCCCTGGCTTGCAAAAGATGCAAAAGGATGCAGATAAGATTTTGCAGGATTCCTTCTCGGCCCTCAGTTTGGAAAAGTTCACAGAACCAGATTCCAAGAGTCTGCATGCCTCTCTGTCTGCCATGAGTTTCCAAAGACCTTCTGCGGAAGCAGCGACCAAGAATTTGCATGCTTCCCTGTCGGCAATGAGTTTCCAACTCAAGAATAACGCGAGCTTCAGCAGTAGTGACCACCAACTGTCTCTCGAGCAGGATCTCTCACTACCCACGGGAATGACATACAAGCCCACCGCTGAAGACGCTACTAGTAGCAGCGCACCCATTGCCAAATCCGATCGAGCGGGGAGAACCTTATCGCCTTCCCGTAGGACTTCGAAGTCATCATCTGTCCGCGTCAACTCCACAGGCAGCTATGAGCGCAAGGCGAAGAAAAGCAGCGTCGAAAAGACTATCCCGTCTATTCGCTCCGAACAAGACTTGTTCACCTTGGAGGCTATACCGGAGAAGCGCAGCAAAGCAAGATCGGAGAGGAAACCAGGAGCACTGAGAAAAGTGAAGTCCACTGCTGATTCCGGAAAAGAGGACGAACTCTCGGATGGGAATGGTGCTGCCTCGAGAAAAGCGAGGACCACTTCTCCCCGTCGCAACACTGTGGCCGAGCAGAGCTATCGTCGCACTACCAGCGGTGGTACCCTTGGCAGTGCTGGTTCCGCGACACAAAAGCCAAGGCGGAAAAAGGTATTAGGTGCCAGTGCACACTCGAAAGTAGATGCCGATGCCTTGTCCAACTCCGAAGCCAACCACACCAAGGGTCCCCGCAACAAGCCAGAGGAGGATAGAACGTCGGCTTCATGCCCTGCCCAGAACCCGCAGGAACGCCGTGTTCGAGACCAAAACGGCCTGGCAGTTTCAACGTCGTCCCATCAAGGTAGGAGCCGTCGACGAGACATTGGCCGAGCCTCTCGAAGAACTACCAGCGTTGGTGCAAGAAGGGAGAGGCAGAAAAAAGTCTCGGGCGCAAGTGTGCACTTGAATGTAGAGCAGGATCTGTTGTCTGTCTCTGAGTCCAACAATCAGAGTACTCTCGGCCGACGCCATACCAACATGGATGAAATGTCAAGCTCTTGTCCTGCGCATAACTTTCAAGGTAGACGCCTCAGAGACAGCTCAGAGTTGATGATGAACAACTCGTCGTCAACGCACACGCAACGTCGTCGCCGTAGAGATGACCTGGCCACGATCTCGGCATCTGACCACGGCGCTGCTGGTAGCATTCGCCGACCTGGAGGACGAAGCTTTGAAGGCTCGACTTCCGTGCTGCGTTTGAAATCCGACGGTGCCATGCCCACAATTGCCGATTGCGCCTCGGTGGAGGTGGAGGACGAAGAAAAGAGTCCCGTGAAAACCAAACAGACTCGCGCCGGAAGATACAACCGATTCGACCACCCCATCAGCCCTGTTCCGACTCGAAGGACTGGCAGACGTGTTGGCGCCCAGCAGAGGTTGTCTCTGGTGAGTTGCCTCGATACTCCACTGGCTGAAGATGTGGAAAAAGAGAAAGAAGAATACAAAGCGCAGGAAATAGCAGGGACAAAAGATGTCGTGGTAGAACCCAACACTGCAATCTCCGACCGACCAGCGCGCAGTCGTCTCAGGGCCATGGATCTCAGAGAGCGCCTCAACAAGGTAGATGAGTCATCTGAGCAGCCCAGCAACAAGGAAGCCGACGAAAGTGACACAAAGAGCGTATTCACGGCCACTGTGGTTTTGCCCTTTGCGAAAGAAATCCCGAAGGAGTTTCTGAAGGCCCAGCAACGAAAGGCGAAGTTGGAAGACAGCTTCGCGGACTTGGAATTCCACAACGGATTCTCGGATCTTTATGAAGATGAATCAGAGCACCTTGGCATAGTCATTTAGTTGAGGTTTGCTTTGCGGAACTGCATTGTATGCTTTCCGTTTGGCATTCCTTAGCGATGCATAGAAAGAAAAGAATAGGTTAAGTGTTCTGGATACAATTCAAATAGTAGGCTTAATCAATCAAGTCACAGCTAGCTAGCCAGTTACAGGGTTTGGAACAATCCACGATGTACGATTAGAATGCCCAAGCCAACTTGTCCACCGACCGGAACAAGTTTGTAGGCGGCTCCACCGTGGCTAAATAGTCAGAAAGATACTCTTCAGAGCCACCACCAAAGATGCCCGAGAGGAGGAATTGGTAGTCATATACTTTCAAAGCTGGCAGTGTGTGGTTTTCGTTGGATTCAAACCAGAAGGTCAACTCCAGGGTACCTCTGTATGGCATGCGACTTTCCCATGGTAGGTAAACGGATTGAGTCCAAAGCGCTGTGACTTCCTCCAGTTGGGATGTTGTTGCTGAAAAATGAGCTTCAAGTTGTGGCTCCAAAAAGGCCGCAGTAGACGCCAAGAGACCTTGCCAATCGTCGTCTGAAGGATCAGACTCGAAAGTGCTAGTTTGAGCAAGACCAAATGTGAGAGAAAAGGGAACCTTTACTGGAACGGACTTCTTCCCGACGGTCGCTTCTTCGTCTGTTACCCAGACTGAATTGGCTTCTTCGTCGTCGTCCTCGTCTACAAGATGCACTCCGGGATTGGAGTATGAGCTTCCGTAACTTGCCCGCTGCGTGTGATGAAACAAGCCACTGGTGGATCGAAGATAGGCGGTTATGAACATCACCACGCTAAAGCCAGTGGACATGTCTCTAAGAAACTCTGCGGCAGTAGGAACATCCAATTCGTTTGTCGCTTTTGAAACAATCATGACACCGACAACGATGCGGTGGGGGAACTGTTGGCTGTCATCCCAGGTAGGAGTCCCTACCAGCTGTGTCGAGACTTGATGTACATAGAAATCGTTGATGTCTACATGGCTGTTGTTGGAGCTTGTAGTCGCTTCTTCAAAGTCGTAGTAACGCTGCATGTTATCGTGCAACCAAAAGTGCGTTTCATTGACTACCCCCGCATACTCGTCTGGTGTGCCCATTCGATCCTCTACCGCTGCACCATTGTCATTCTTCAAAGCGAGACTCCATATCATATCAAATGTCACAACATAAACATTCTTGTGCAAAGCACTCGTCGTGTTTGTTACTGCAGCAGCGTTGTCGGGTTGAACCGGTTGATACGACCCTCGTTCGTAGCTGGCATAGGAGGCCCTTCGCGTGTACCGAAAGATGCTCCTTGATTCGCCGGTTTGATGCAGATGGTTGGAAATAAAGTCAGACACATCCGACCTTGCTGTCATATCCAACAAAAACGACCCCACAGATGGGACAGCGTCGTCGTGATGAGTCACTGTTGAACTCGCGTCAAACTGGAAGTGAACCTCACAATCCAAGGAAATGGTGTGCGGGAAGTACGACGTGCTTCGTGCAATTTGGATGGTGTCGGGATCCCAAGTGGCGCTCGTCACCACGGTGTGAACGTTGCGAAGTTGGATGTTGCGGTTGTTGTCGTTGTTGTGGTGCTGATTGACATGGATCTCCTGAAAAGTGTCACCGATCCACTGCGTTGTTGCTTGGGCCACTCCCTCGTATTCTGGCACTGTTGGCTGTCGATCTACCACTTGAGTTTCATCAATTTGGATCCTCCAGGTGATTGTGAAGGGCAAAACATGATACGAAAGTCCCAATGCTCTTTCTTTTGCAGACCGAATCTCATTTTCATTGGGAGACGAAGCAACAGCACGGTTTTCAGCTACAATGAGGAACCACGAAGTTACCAAGAACAAGGACCTCAGATAGGTCAGTCTTATGCATATTCGTGCCATTGCTTGCTGTGCCAGCATCGATGATATCTACCGTACGGCATCGAAACATTCCATGCGCATCGTGTGCCATGGCCAATCTTTCGGCGATCACACAAACATCTCGGGCGCAGGAGACCAATGAGATAAACAAATGGAGTGAGCGTCGAATGATGATTGAATCGAATGAATTGAATCGAATAGAATGGATTCGAATATTTCGAATTATGCGATGAAATCGGTACGTAGACCGGGCGGGCTTGTGGGTCACACTTACTTTAAAACACTGGAGGAAAGTTCCCCACAGGCTTCTTCTCCGGTACATGACATGTATTTATTTATTTATGTAGTACTGTATCAGTACTGTACGTGTGGTACGGAATGACAGGTACTTAGAGAGTGAGTCTTGCAGCCACATTGTTCACTTAAGTCATACGTACCCTTTCTTTCACGAACATCCTTCTGGGAACAACAAATCCGCAACCGCTACGGCAACTTTGCATGGCTTTGCTGCGCAGTACCGCTGCTTCACGCTCAAAAATGGAAGGGAACGTTGAATGGGATGCAACGATGCAACTACACGAACATGTACAGGGCCGGTAAGATAGATCCGGACCTCAGGAACACAATCAATTGTCTGAAAGGCTGAAAGAATGTTATAGTGAGAAAGAATGGCAAATGCAGTATGCAGGAGTGTGTCGCGGTGTCGAGTTTTTTGGTACCGTACTGGATGTAGCTGCCATTTGATCAGATTTAAGACCCTTTTTCCAAGGAAACACGTCTGCAAAGCTCGTGTCACATACATCTGCGTTTCTAACAATGGCATCTATCTGAAACATCAGGAACACAATTTCCAACGGTACAACGGTACATGCAACACTTAGAGGGAGTCTTGACAGGGTGTTCACATCCCATTCCGAACCTCAATGAACACTTCCCGTTGGTGAATCCGTGAGTCGGATTGAGTCTTGCTGCCCAATGAAGCCTTGTGGCCTTGTTGTGTAGCTGGCGGTTTTGCTATCGTAATCATTTCTTACCGGTACGCTACGACCAAAAATGTCAATGACTTGATGTTCGTTACCGGGCATCTCTGATGCAGGTCAACCATTCGCAACAGTTAACATTTTCTGTATAGAGCTTTCTGTACAAACAAAACATAGGTGCAAGCTTTAACTCCAGTTTAGAGATCAGTCAATCAACCCCCCTTTTAGATTTCACACCCCCTGCTGCTGGACTTTGGGCTTCAGGATCGGCTGAAGAAACTGGACTATGGTATTCTACAAAGACGCCCTGACTTGGCTTGGATCCGGTACCATAATATGGATAAGGACTTCTCCCAAGAGTAATAAGAAATACCATAGTCTGACACCATGGTCATTGTACCGGTACCTACCATGAAATTGATTGAGATTCGCTCAGTTCTCTTGGCAATAGGAAAACAAATCGATTTCATTTCTGATCCCAGCAACTTGGAAGGAAGAAGAGCAGTTGACCCAAGTGCCAACAAGTTTGAGAAGATGTTCTTCCTGGCCTGATCATCCCTCATCACTCACTATGATAAGAATATTCTCGACCAAAACAGCCAGAGTTTGCTATTAAAAGGTACATGATGTACGACTGTACCAGTTTATGTAGTTTTGGGGTAGCATCTTCTTCGATTTCATCCCTTTTTAGTCACATTTAGTTCTCCAATAACCAGCGTCTAAATAATCCTCTCAACTGGCACTAGAGTCTATGAGACCCGAGTCAACAACAACACTGGTTTATGTCACTCGTGACTTGGCTTCCTAATCATGATATTTAGTATAGGAATTGACTACTGTTTCTGGCTAAGTAGCCGGCCTGACTAGTTCAAAGTCAGCTTTGAGGCCAGGACAGAAAAAGGCCAGGTTCGCCAGCGATTGTACTATTTTGGTGATAGTATTTTGGCGCCTGTGCTAGAATGATGATACCCCTTATACGTTGCTTGAACGAAAACCGGTAGCGGTCCGCTAGCAGCCGTTCGCTCCCGATTGCCAGGTAGTTACCGGTAGATGTGAGATAACACCATGCATTCTTTCGTCTGAATGGAGCCTTGCTCTTTGTGTTGTGTCTCAAAGCGGTATCATAGGTAGCAGCGAGAGGCATCTCTTTTTGTTACTCTGCTTGGATTCCAAGCTAGCTAGCAAGGTAACTTGGTGCTGGTTGCATCCGTTCATTCACAAAAAGTGCATCGTGCTGAAGCTCGATCATCAACACACGGAAGCATTAGAAGTAAGTGTATTCGCCGATAGCAGTCCATTATCCAGACAAACAAAGAAACCAAAGACAGATAGGAAGAAGTTAAGGGCTCGTATTCTCACCATTCCCATTCCACATTCATTCTCAGATACCCTCAGATACCTCAAAATGATGCAATTAAGACCGCTCCTTTCGCTGCTTTTGGTGCCTGTCGTCGCGGCACATGGCAACCTTCGTTCTCCAGAACGACGTAACCTCCAATCCATTTCCCTGGCATCCAACCAGATCGCCTTCAACTGTCAGTATGACATGCAACTCTCTGACAATGGCGAGACCAGTGGCGTCTCCTCCTCCCCCGATGACAACAATTCATTCACGACTGCTGCCTACGGCTGGATCCAGAATGCCATCTCGGCCGCCCAAGGGGCACAGTCGACCACTGGAGAGGCCGCTTGGTCGTACGATTCCATGGCAAACACAATCCGATACACGGTCTTTTACACCCCTGTCCAACACGTCATGTCTGTGCAGTACATTGTGGACTTCAACGAACTCGTCGCCCCAACTGACGAAGTTGGTTGGGTCGCCGCCATGAACAGCAATCTTGATACCGGCAACCTGCTCAGCGCTACTTCCGGCATCAGTGGAATCTTCCGTTTCTTGTCCTCTGTGGAAAACGTTCAATGCGAACACGTTGCCGCTTCGGCCGGGTCTCGTATTGTCTTTGAGGAAGCCTACGTCTTGCCATTCCGTCTGAACTGGGCCTTCAACACCTCCAACCAGCTTGCTCCTCCCGGAGAATTCCAGGCTGCCGTCAACGCCACCGAGAAGTGGATCGCCGAGAACTGGGAGAACACGTACGGAGTCATGACCACCTGGAGGAACCGCAATGAACTCCAGAACGTGGACATCTTCCAACGATACACTGCCTTTTCTCAAAGCAGTGCAGAAAGTGGCCTCAATCGTTACCAGCAACAGTTGGGCCTCTACGTCCAACTTGTGGTGGGTGCCAACAACATCACCGATGTCCCCACGGTCTCTTCCTACTTGGAGACCTTGCAACTGACGTACCCTCTCGGAGACTTTGTCACCGAACTGAACAATTTCATGAACGAGTACTTGCAACCCGGTATTCGCATCTTGCCCGGAACTCAGCAGTCGTACGCTGTGATCCCTACCTTTGAAGTGAGCAACATTAACGATTCTGGATCTCGTACCGGACCCGCCGACGATGTCTTTTACACCGACTACGCCTCCGTGTCGGTGGATCTGAACCAGGCTGCTCTTGACGCGGCTCGTGCAAACGCCGGATACGGAGCCGGCAATGGCGTTGGAGTCGGCAATGGCGTTTAAGCGTGCGAGTGAATGTATAGGTTGCACGACGGAACATGCAAAAAAGGCGTGGCGGCAACTCGGTTAACTAACACACAAGAAGGAAGAGCACACTGGCTGCAATGTCTTTTTCTCTCTCTTTACATATGTTCTTCTACACTACATGATAATCATATTTAAAAGATCTTGAAACTATCCTTGTCTAGGCACAGTCTGAGCTAGCCACAGAGGAGACGAGGTGCGGTTGGGTTCCCTGTGCTTGATTGTGTACCTGGGCTTGACGCCGAACCTTAGCTACCAGTAGCAGTTAGGCACGCCGACAACGTCCCATATCCTAGTAGCCAATGGATGCCTACCGGTAGCTAGACTAGCTAGTAATAGCCGGCAAGCAGTCGTGCCAAACGCGACAAGCCTAAGGGAGTTCTGCTAGCAGTTGGGGGAGGCAGCTTCCCAGTCGTACCAGCTCAAGAGTAACCACAGGCTAGCGGCCCACTCATCAAAGGCTCCCTAGTCTACTAGCAGGAGCAAGCTTTCGTCTTTCAGAGCCGAAGCTTGTACGTTGGGCTGTGCTGTGCTGTGGATAGATAGCAAGAAGGTATTGACCAGTCTTCACTGTGGGAGCGAGTTGTGCAACCTACAAGATATTCGTTATGTTTGTTGTTATTACTACTAGCTAGCTGGCCAGTCGGCCTGTTGTTTAGTTGCCCCCTCCAGGCAGATAGAGCTCGCCATTGAGGTACAACCGCAGCGTTTCGTAGGCGTAAAGGCCCCCAAATCCCACCACAGACACCAATGTAAAGATGGGGATGAACAAGTCTCGTTCTGGTTCTTCGGCAGATTGTACGGCTGCTGGCTGCGGTGGCTCTGGAACGTCTGACACATCTCCCCACCCGTCATCCTCTTCTGTTGGTAGCGAGCTAGAATCATTGCCGTTGCCCTCGTCTTGCTGGGCTTGCAGTACATGTAGTAGTGGCGGTGTCAGTTGCCACAGCAGACTAGGAGGGAGCGCTTGACTGCGTAAGGCGAGATCCCTCTGGCTGTTCTGGGCCTTGATGGCGTCCATGCGGCAACACTGCTGTCCGCCACAATCAAAAGAAGGGCAACACAGCAAAGAAGAAAGTCCAGCATCTTGATGGTCGTCGCTCGGGGCAGCGTCTCGTTGCTCATTGCAGCTCATTGCACAACTTGCCGTACGTAAGAGTTTTCGGAGACCATTTCGTCAGAGTGACAGGCGAATCGATTGAAGATTCGAATAATTTTCGATTTTGTAGTTCGAACGTGGAGCGTGGAAAACGCAAACCGGAAGGTGAACGATCTTTGGATTGCCTTGACATGTCCTGCTTTTGAGCCACCTCTGCATCGTCCCTTGCACTCACCTCCTAGTACCCAGGAGGGCGCTTGGCAGTCAGTTTACTGCTGCAATTTACAATCTGAGGATGAGCGTACCTGGCATGTGGGCGGACATGATTGCCTCTTGGCGGTTGTTCCTTCCGATGTTGAACTCGTCTTGGCACCGTATCTAGTGACACGCGATACGCTGGACGAAGCGAAACGGAGAGAATTGTTGGGGGCATCCTAGTCATCGCAGTCCACATGTGGCTAGAGAAACATGTTCCAGCGCTTAATTAAGCCCACGATACCAGGTACCGTAGTACAGTATGAAGCCTCGGTGGGGCCATTTTGCTTGCTCATATCAGTAGCCTGAGGAAGGAGTCCTGTCCAGTTCCCATCGTACTGATTCGATTCGATTCGATTCAATTCGCTGCATCGGGCTGTGGAAGAAATCTGCCTTCGCTTGGGAGTCAATTCCCATAAAATGAGCAGATGAGGCTCTACATGCTCTGGTAACACCACTTATTAGTAAGCTTGTGTCCCATGCCATGTCACAGCAAGAACTTGCTTGCTTTGAGGTTTTTCACCTCATTATCTTGACAAATATCGTTGTAACGATTGTGTTGTTGTTTGAATCTCGTACCGATACGATGATCACATTTTCAACTAGACTAGCTAGTCTACATGTATGCATACATGTACCGGTACATGTACATGTACACGAACTCTGCATACCGGTAGTTGCACCGGTACTGTACTTTTGTACCATTGTATTAGCCATGCACCACTAAAACAACACCGGTTTACGAAACATTAAATCTCTGAGCAGCCAATTCGCTCCAAAGAGAGGCAAAGAAAAGTAATCCCCAATTGAGGCATGATGTGTCGACAACGATGGCTTTTGGTGGCCACCTTCCTCTCCATGGTATCCTCGTGGAATGTGGCTGCCGAGCAAAATACACTGCGAGGAGGACCGTCAAATCAGAATCTTGTGGACCAAGAAGAAGCTGGATTCTGGGACCGCTTTTTACTCGCAAGCTCGACAAGCATGGCTGCTCCGATTCCGCCTGGCACTGACTCCGTGGAGCCCCCGCTGACTGTATCTTTCCCCACACCCTTTGATCCACAACCCACATTGACAAGCAGCAACGGCAAGCTGGAAGTGACGCTCCATATGGGTCCTACAGGGGAAGCTTTTGGTACTCCCAACTTTGTATCCACTCAAGCCGAAGGAGGAGGCTTTGAAGCCAATGTCCTAGGATACAGTGGTTGTTACTCAAATGGAGAGCGGTGTCAAGATAGCAGCATTCAAATGGGGGGACCAACCCTTCGTGTCAAGCCAGGAGATGACCTCATCATTCATCTCTACAATGACATGCCTGCCGAAAAATGTAAAACGTCCGGTAATATTGGCTTTTGGAATGAATTTCATCAGGCACCCAACACAAATCTACATGTCCACGGGCTCTTTGTTCCTAACAGCGAGAACAACGTCCTCGATGTCATCCTGCCGGGGGAAAGTGAAACCTACAACATTCATATCCGCGAGGTACAGCAGGGAGGTACTCATTGGTATCATCCTCACGCGGAAGGATCCGTAGGAATTCAAGCGGGTGGGGGAGCCATTGGCTTTCTCATTGTCGAAGACTTGGAGGACGACATACCCCCCGAGATCGCATCCTTGCCAGAAATTAGCATGCGAATTCAACATACCGACTGGGCCTACCAATCTGGATGCCCCGTGGCGGCGAATGACTGGAGCGACAATGGAGACTGTCATGTCGACGATACCGATAAGGACAATTACGCTAAAGATTATGTCAATGCCTGCAAGACAGTTTGCTCGCAGCCCGATGCCAACTGCGGATGTCAAGATCCTGAAACGGAATGCGCCGAACCCATATTTGGCGTGCCCGCCTACAAAGGTACCCTCTCTCAAGTTCTTACTGTCAATGGCGCCGAAAAGCCAACATTTGAGCTATACGCAGGGCAGTGGTATCATATCCGCACGGTCTACGCTCCGACGTACAAAAAGCCAATTGAACCAACCCTCAAAGGTTGCGACTTCAAGTTGCTAAGCAAGGATGGTCGGTACATGCCCATTACTCCTCGTGACATCAAGTCTGGTTACATGTTCAGCGGCTCCCGTGCTGACTTTCTTGTTCGTTGTATGGAGCCTGGACGGTACGACTTTGAATCCATCAACACGATTCCCAGCACCTACAATTGGGCTACTTGGAACGGAAGTGCCAGTGCTCTGGAAGAACCTCATCAACAGACACTGTACCAAAAACTTAGCGCCTATGCAGGAACCATGGCTACATTTCGGGTTAAAGAGGCACCCAATAACTGGAAACCCGAAGTCTCTGAGATTCGTCCATTCCAACCCGCCCGTCCATGTTATGCTCCTGAAATGCGTAATCTCGAAGTGGATGATAGTTATTACTTTCTACAAAGCGCATTGGTACCTCCTGATGATGTTTTGACCGAGGATGGGGAAATGTATCCCGTCTTTCGCGGCAAGTCGCCCCCCTTCGATCAAGCCACGCATGGAAGCTTTTATGCCATTCAAAATATCAACCAAACCGACACTGGTTTCCCCGGAAGGCTCAAGCCTCCCAAAGATGTTTGCTCAGGCAAAGTTACCAATGAGTATGGTGAATGTTACGGCCACCCCATTCTGGGACAAGATTTTACGTTCAACATTGGCGATATAGTTGAAGTGGACTATTATGCTCCCCAGATTCATCCTCTGCACATTCATGTTTTTGGGTATCAAATAACTAGACTTCCCGAATTTTCCGTCGCCACTGACTATTTTCAAGTCGGTGATTATCATGACAACTTGGTGGTGCCTATCTCAGGTAGTTTCACCGACAGAGAAGCGGCCAGCAATCCCCGCGAACCTCCTGAATACGGCAAGGTCGTCTTTCGACAGCATATATATGCGTTGGAAACGGACGTTGTGGTTCACTGTCACTTTTATCGGCACAGCGACCGCGGTATGGTCGCTTTGGGCAATACCAAAGGTGCTGTGGGCGCCTCCAGTCCGCAGGTGGAAGGAACGTGCTACCATGGACTGGACAACCGTAACTATGCATATGTCTAGCTAGCTAGTAGAATCATTGTATTTTCTGTGGGTCAAGTGAGATACATTTCAAGCCTTTCCTCGTCGCCCGCCTGCCTTTTAGCTGAAATGGTGTTTCGGGCACGTTGCCTTTCATCCCACGTGCACCGTATCAGGATCATTTTGACAGCTGCCAAGACCTTCAATTCGGCAGGCTCAGCCAATCCCAAACGGTGCACCCCTGCCATACCGGTAGTAGCTTGGAACCCATTCAGCTGGATCCGACGACGCAGGCACGGACCTTGTTGGCATTGCGCTAGATAGCTAGAAAGTGACTCTCGATTGCTTCCTCGACACTCAAACCGGAAACTGTATGTACGAGATGTACCTCCCGTGACAGAGGTAGGCGATGTACACCGAACTCATCCCAGCGAGCAGAGCCCCCCCTTTTGCAAGTGAACGCCATGTACCGTATTTCTTGGGGCTCGTACCAGAATTGATACACTCTGTGGTACAGTTCAGCGGCAACGATACGATGCAACGATCGGGACAAGTACGTCCTCCCATGGGCTTGCTTTTCCAATAGTTTGGAGGCTTTGCTTTTTGATGCGCACTGTAATGTTTCCCCCCGAGGTATCGGCAGACTTGGTTTTGACTTTTTCCTTTCCCTTTACGAGGGGTGCTCTGCAGGTGGACAGGGCACGCACGGGGATCTCGGGAGCTTTCAAGAGTTGAGCTGCGGCATCCCCGCTCGGCCAACCCAGGCTCCGTTGGCGGAGTCGGGGAATTTGGCCTCTGCAGCGAGGCCAACCGAGGCGGTACAAATCTCTCTGCTGTAGTGTCGAGCAAAAACGGAGAGCGATCACCTGCGAGACTAGACTTATCAATTTTCTTGAGTGATTATAATTTTTTAAATATTTGAATGATGTATTGTGTTTGTTGTGATGCGCCCATACAAGAGATACAGCAGAAGAGGTCTGCGTTACGTAGTACACATGGATTGGATGAGTGAGGTGTGTGAAGGTGGAGGATGGTAATGGGAGGGTTTGATCTGTTCTGTTGTCAGAGCGGTCGAATTAGACATTGAGAAGAGGAGTGCTGATTTGATCTTGCTCCTCTTCTTCTTCTTCTTCGTCATCATGAATCAAGGCTTGTTCTGGAGATCCCAACAAGACCAAAGTGACGCGACACCACAAGCAGGCGACGGCGAGAATGACACAAGATTGAATGATTTGCGGACGCATGCCCAACACAACGTTGGTGACGTTCCAACTGGTGCAGATTCCGACCAAGGCACCAACGGCAAAGCGTCCTTCCATGTAACTCAACAATTCGCACAAGACATCTTCCGCATTCTGACGTTCCTTGGAGACGGACGCCATGAACACAATGGTGACCAAGCGACGCATCGATGACAGAATCACAATGGCAATCATGGTCGTGATGAAATTCCACATGAGCGAAAAGAGAATCAATTCGTGGTTCGACTTGTTGAGGATCTCACGGCCCCACAGCATGACTCCCACAAACTCGGCACCCAGTGTCGACAAGTAAATAAAGAAACCCACCAATAGACCCAACACCAAAGAGCAAGTCTTGAAACTGCTCAGCGCCGGCATGTACAGTCGTTCGTCGGCGCTACTACTGCTTGTAGTGCTTGTCGTACGACGGGTCTGCGTCGACTTGTCATCCGACATGGCAGTGTACACAACAGCGGGAGAAAGAGATTGGTGGCTCATGGTGGTTGAAGTAGATTGATTGGATTGAATTGATTGAGTTGTTGTTGTTCCGTTCGAAAGAAACTGTGTTGTTGGTTTTATGCGGCTTTTCCCGAGGGTTGTTTTTTGGCCAACATCAGCAAGAACAAGACGAGCAAGATCTTGCGTGCAACCCAGCAGGTCGTCGTGATGAATGACGCGGTATTCAACTGGCACAAATGAGTCTTCCGTTTAGACAAAACGGTCATCTTTTAGTAATGACCATGACACTGGTCATCTCGAAGAACCAAGGATTTCGGCCAAATCGCCTGGCGGGTGCGACAACTGTCGCCTCAACGATCAATAGAAAACTGTTGGGGGTTGGGCGTAGCGGAAGCAGTACCAGTACAGTACCAGGTCGGGACGGTTGCTGGTGGTGCTGTTGGGCCCTACCAGCTTGCAAGATGCTACAGCCACTATCATCTGAGATAGTCAAGTCTTACAATTTGGTTGGGCAAGTGTAGCTGGCTGGATAGTGTAGTCTTGCAACTTGGTTGGGACCAAGTAAGTCAACAACAAAACAAAGACCAGGCTGCTGAGCCTGGACCAATCGTGGTAAAGCAACTTGCGCGCTTCTGTCCACCGTTCGACGAATTGCTTCCAGAGACAAGGTTGTGAGCAAGGATACACCAAACGGACGCAGCGTGCACCCGCAGCCATGCAACGTCACGACACATCCGCGGTACATGTTTCAATGAATACTGCTAGGTAGCGGTGGCAACTTGGAAACTTCACCGAGAAAGCCAGGTACTAGTAGTCTTTCGTATTGTATTGGCTAGGCTGGCTGACGAGCTCGTCTGGCCATACGGTGCCGTACGGTACGGTACGGTACGGTACCAGTACGGTACGGTAGCGGTACAGTACGAGAGAGGTGCTGAAGCACCAAGGCATCAGCCGCCTCCGGTACAGCCACTGTACTAGCTAGTCCAAGTAGCTGCTTGCTCCTAGCTAGCTGCCTGATAGCTAGCTAGTTATCGAGAAGAATAGGTAGTCGAAGCCATTGCAACTGCCCTTTGAACTTTTGCTTCGAGATTGATACTTCACGCAAGAGATTGCTGGCTGGACAGCCACCCATACATAATAATATGATGACATCATTGGAGCGCTTGCCACCAATGACGAAATGGTGGCTGCAGGTTGTACGAATAGTCCTTCTCCTTCCTTGTTGCAACACCGCGGCCCACATCTTGTCATTGCAGTTTGACGGTTCCTTGCGCCCACCCTCGGATCCTGGGTTCGCCACTGCTTCCTTGGGTCGGATTGGTACCGCAGCCGCGGCTCTGTCGCTAATAGATCATGATGCCTCGGGCCAACAGAAACCAACGAACCCACTTTGGTTGGGGGGCAAGGCGTTGCCTCCGGGTGGCCTCGAGAATTCGGCCGAGGCGGAGTACGAAGGCCTCTTGATGGGATTAGAAAAGGCTGTGGAGTTGGTGGGTGTGTCAACCGTAGTAGTGGACAAGATAGTTGTGCAAGGGGACTGCAAGACTGTCATTGATCAACTCAAAGAATCCAGTCGACCACGCAAGCTGGAGGCGCACTACATTCGAGCACAAGAGCACCTAACCCAGCTCCTTGGTGAACAGCAAGGTCCTGTCGTGCTGGAGTATCAGCACATTCCACGAAAGCAAAACCAACTGTGCGATGGATTGTGTACGGTGATTCGATCGAGGATTATCGAACCAGCAGCATGGCAACGGTCCATGGCCGGCATGGATGACGATCAAGCTGACCTGTCTCGAAGTTTGCAAGACTTGGTGCGTCCAGGCAGCTTGATTCCCTTCTCGAGACGTCCACAGATCTATGCTAAGCTTGCCTCCGTCGCCCAGGAGCGGGAAGACTTCCAAGTGGTCGTTCAAGTGGGAGAACAACTGGAGCACGAGAGCAAAACCGTGTGGGCATCCTCTGCAGCTGGCAAGGACGTTGCTGAAAAGCTGCAAACCTGGGGTGTGGCTTTGCAGATGCATCCTCTGCAGCTGGCAAGGACGTTGCTGAAAAGCTGCAAACCTGGGGTGTGGCTTTGCAGATCCAAGGGTACCGAGGTCAGGCCACACGCAAGAGTCTCAAGTTGGCTGCTGCAAAGGAGCGGAAGAATCGGTTTCTCCTGAAACAGCAGCAGGCAAAGGTTCTTGGTGCTTTCGAAGACTGGGGGAGCACCGACTTGGAACAAGATGCTGGTGAGGAGACTGGTAAAGCTGAGCTGTCATTGTTGTGGCAAGCCTGGCTAGACGAGATGCTGGATTCAAAGCAGTGGTGTGACCAGAAATGTTTGTGGATAGTCAGGGGAAGAGGGTAGGGCAATGGATTGAATCTATTGGAAGTGCAGCCAATGACACATCTTTCGAAGCTGGACTCGTGGCAGCTTGGAGGAGACTGCTTTCTGTGTCGTCCCTACCCTTACCTCAGAACCTCGTCGGTGGCTGCGACCGCGACCTCGCTTCCCAAGAGGAGGCAGTTTTGACGCACAAAAGATCAGGATACTTTGGTTCGGGGGTGCCGCACTCGTCCAGCATGGCCGTTGTGGCCGTCAGCTCTTTGTGACGGTCCATCGTTTCAGACACTGCGACAACGCACGATTCCCGCGAAGAACTTGGCATCTTCCACGATTTCGGTCCACGCCAAAACTCATTTTTTCTTTGATCCCATCCAGTTCTGAAAGAGGAAGCAAAAGCATCACCATGGCAACCCGACTCCCAAGATCCAATTCGGGCGAACACAGAGCTCGAAAACGTCAGAAGACACCCAGCACCCTTTCCGCAGTTCATACCGGTACGGCTACCGGTACCTCGTTGACGCCTGATCAGGTTGCTGCTCTTTCACCCGCCAAGATCGCCCAGCTTTTGGCCGATCTTCAAAGCAAGGTTGAAAGGACAGAAAGCAGGCTGGAAAAGGTTCAAGAGGAGCGCAACCAATACAAGGCGCAGTCGCAGAAGACTGCGAAACCGACCAAACGCAAGAAAGCTGCAGCCTCTTCCTTGCTGAGCCTCCCAGCGAAAAATTTCGAAAGGCTCCCCGACTTGAGTTCTGAAGAGAAGAAAAATGTTCTCAATGAGATCCACCAAACGCACTCCGACGAGAAAGAAAAGGGCATCGCCAGAAGCAACAAAGGTCTGCAGGTGCTTCTTTGGGAGTTGGGTTCTAATTATTGCTTACAAAAACACCAGTTTCTGGGTGTTCGAGCTATTGCTCGGGTTCCCGATGACTTTCCCGGTTGCAGTTTTCCGAACACGGATCACACGGTGTCTTTCGAAAAGATCAGAGAAACTCTCAGTTCGGCAAGACTGCGGCAAAACAATGAACGTGGCTTGATCATGGCTGATACAATGGGCGTGGGGAAAACTGTGCAGGCTGTTGCAGCATGCATTCTGCGGAATGCAGTTGCAGTTGAAAAGAAGAAACCTAAGCGACCCACACTGATCATCGCTCCGAGCAAAGCTGTGCTTTCGCAATGGCATGAGACCCTGATCAAGGCTGGAGTGGACAAAATGAACATTTACAGCTTGGTAACAAAGCGGTCTAAACCCTTGGGTGGAGATCTATTCGTTCTGTGCACGATATACGATTTGCAAACAGAAGTACGAAACTGGTTTGGTGGACACACATCCGCATTGTTCTCTGAAGCTTCTCCGAAACACTTGAAAGTCTTGAGAAACCAGTACCGAGCAAACAAAGGTCAAGAGAGAAACAAGTACAACAAGTTGGGAGACTGCAAAACCCTTTCAGTCAACGAGTGCATTCGGCAGTGCCTAAAGAAACGGGCAAATAGCTGGGCCTACCGAACGGTCATCGTAGACGAAGCGGTAAGCAACCATCTTCTAGTGCCCAACTGTGGATTGTGAAGCACTGACCCGTCCCTTCTCTGGGTAGCATTTCCTCAGGACACCAGCAACCTATTGGGGAATAGGGGCCGGATTGGTTGGAATTCACACGGAACGGATGATCTTGTTGTCCGGTACGGCTTGCAACTGTAGTGATTGTCATCAAGTTGTTGTTGCTCAATGTTGTTGTTGATTTGATGACAGGTACTCCTTACAACAATAGGTTGCAAGATATTGCAACACTCGTTATGTTTATGAATCCCAGTGACCCATCTGCACGTGTAGAATGGTGGCAGAAAGCCACTAAATGCGGGGCTGCTCAACAAGTGATACGACAAATAGAGGATTGGAGCAAAGAAAACCTCTTGCGTCGTGGCAAAGATGTGATTGCAAGTCAACTCCACAAGAAGAGTATCGTACACAGGCCGATTGTACCCGCTGAGTCCGAAATGTCTTCGTAAGTCTACGATTGTGCCTTTGTGAATCATGCGACGTCCAACTGACCCCGAGAATTCCACCAAAACAACAGATACTGTGTCTATGAATGCAAGATTATGAGTGCCCTCAAACAGATGGGCAAAGCTTTTAAGAACGGCGACAGGTCACCCAAGGAGAAAAAGAAATGCCTGCTAAGGTTGATGGCGGCTACTCAGCACGCTATGCTTGCGTTGATTCATCCCGTCCTTCCAAATGGCGGTCGGGGTCTCAGCATTTTGGTCTCTCCATCTCGCGGTCGCCTTGAGTCGGCAAAGAAGCAACAAGAGAAACCGAACATATGTGCGTGTTGCAAAAGGCGAAAGGGCCGAAAAAAGGCTCGCAAGGACGTCGAGGACCCAGATGAAATCGGAGTTGACTATCTTATGGGTGTCGAAGGATGGGACGCCGGAACGGAAGACGAGTTGGAGGAACAGAGTGTGGAAGATGAGAAGCTCACAGATGAAACAGATTACGAAGAACCTAACACTGATGATGGGGAGGTAGTCGAGAGTGAAGAAGGACAAAAACAGAAAAACGATGAGTGGGTTCCAGTGGATCAGGCAGAAAGCCTCGATATCCACGATCATGATCATGACCTTGACCTTGATGAATGGGAAGATGAGAAAGAGTGCGACAAATCGGACGAGGAATACTTGGATGCGGATGGGACCGAAACGGACGGGGATGAACACGATTTAGACGACCGCTTCCACTCTGACGATGATGAAAGCGAAGGAGACGAGGAAAGCATATCGGATGACGATGAAGATGACTCATTTGATGGTAGCGCAGAAGCTACCTGCAAAGGGAGCGGTGAGATTATGCCGATTCCAACAGAACTCTGTGCGATTGGACAGATGGGAATCCGACATTTTGCTTGCGAGTCTTGTTTGGAGAGTCTAGAACAGTGCCCAAAATGTGCTGAACTTATCAGCACGCTTGAGGAGTCAAGATCAGACAACAAAAAAGACGAGCTGGGAGGTTCCGGAGTTTCGGCGGCAAACCAATTCGATGCAAGCAAGGACATGGATGAGCACGAAGCGCCACGGGGTCGGATCTATTGCCCTGAAATCTTCGGTGGGTTTCGTCCCTCGGCAAAGTTGCAAGCCATTTGTTCTGATTTTGAAGCGGTGCCCAAGGAGGATAAGGTGTTGATAGTGTCATTCTTTAAGGGGAGCCTGGATCTGCTTGAGCGAATGTTCTCAGAGATCTACCCAAAAGTGGAAGTGGCACGATTTGACGGCGATATCTCTGACGAAGAGCGAGCAAACGTACTCCAAACATTCAAGTACAAGGCATCATGTCGGATTCTCCTTATGACGGTGCAGACTGGAGGTGTTGGGCTCAATCTAGTAGAAGCCAACCATGTGTGGTTTGTCAATCGATGGTGTAAGTTTCTGCAACTTGACAAGCGCACAAGGAGGTCAACCACACTCAACATCTTGCCTGGTTGCTTTTCTTGTCGCAGGGAACCCAATGGTGCTGTAAGTCAGACACAAAGAATCTTTTAAACTTGTTCTGTGTTTCCTCATGCCATGCCATTCCGTTTCCACGCTGAACCCACAGGGAACAGTGTGAAGATCGTGTTTATCGGATTGGTCAAAAGAAGGACGTTACTATTCGATATTATGATGCGCGGGAAACAATTGATGTAGTCATGGGTAAGTGTGATCAGTTTTCTCCAGTCTAGCCAACCTGCTCGAGAAGATAAACAAACAATATGTATGGTTCTCTTGTTACAGCTGAAATCAATGAAACGAAAGCCACAAACGCCGCTATCGTATTGGCTGATGGTCCTGCGTTATCCAAGAATCCATCCTTCAACGAAACCTCTGGGCTCATGTTCCAATCTATTCGTGCTTTGCAAGGTGCTCGAGAAGCGAAACAATCTGCTACGCCTTCTCCGCCCACTCAACAATCACCACCAGGTCCTGCCACAGAGGACTCTTCGCTGATACCAGTTTCTGATCCAGTGCTCGATGCAGTTGTTGAGACGGTGCATGAGAAGGTTGTTTCGTTGCCAGATACAGGAGATTCAGGGTCTCCCGACCCGAGTGACAATAGCATCTTGTTGGTGCACCAAGCGAGCAACGGGCTTGACTCCAGGGAAGCAAACAAAGAGATTGAGGCACCTCTTTTGCCCCAAGCTCAAAAGGGAACCCTGCAGGATGGCAAAACTGGAAGCACGCCCATTGATCTTTGCAGTTCGGACTTGGATGCTGCTGATGACATCTAGCTATGCGATAGGAGTCTTTCTTCGAGAAGCTGTGGAGCATTGTTATGTGATTGTGATGTTGCTCTCTTCTGAATGGAGCAGTAGTTGATATTGGCTGCTTCAACTGTACCGCCCCTGTGAACATCAATCCTGCCTGCAAATTGAAAAGTATCACTTCTCTGCCTAGCTTGGAATCTTGGGCCTCTAGCTAGAGTATCCTTTTGAAGGTCATAATAGAGAAAACACTGCATCTATGAGTAGCTGTTGTGAGATTGCAAAGTCCAAGTTGACCCTAACTTCTAAAGCCTCTAAAGATCACTAATCAGAGCCTAGCTAGCTGGCTTTTGGCAACCACATGGCTAGTTAGTCACTGCAATTGGGGTACAAGCTATGCGTATCACCGCATTGGCACAGATTGTTGTTTGACCTGCCTCCCAAAACTGTGATTCTGAGCTGTCATTGTTGACAAGCTTGGCGATGCTGAAATGCGAGACTCGACTTGACTCTCAAGATGGTGTGGCAACGCGGGCTGCACTGGCCAAGAGTCATGCTTGTGAAAGCAACCAAAGAGAGATTGACCCTTTGTGTGCAAGGCGTGGCAACTTGGGAGGCAGAGTTCAGCATTCCTTGCAATCTCTCTCTGTCTCTCTCTCTTTCGATTCGATTCATTCTAGTTCTTCTAGTTAGTAGAACCACTCCATGAGCATGTGTCGATTCATTTCCCAATTGAAGTGATGCGTATCACACGGAAACAACCATTCCGCCACCAGCTGTGTACTGTTGTACACATCCAAAAGACCCATTCTGCTGCGGAACGGTTCTTCTTGTAGCAATTGTCGCAACCCATGATCCAAGGCATGATTGCGTGCTGTACTGACATAGCGTGTGCCCATTTGCACTCGCTCCCGATCGGCGCACTCTTGGAGGTTCGCGACGGCATGAGGATGGACGGCCGAGGGTGATTTGTAATACACGGGAACCCCGGGGTATTGTTGCAACAGCCATTTCCAAAACATGCGATGGGCGTCAATAGTGGGTGCCAATGTAAAGTTGGCATCTCCCCCCGCCCATGTAATGGTTCCCAAATCCCACGTGCCACTTCCCAAGACAATGGCCGAATGCGTCTGTTTGCGAATGCGAGCGCCATGCCACTCGTCAAATAATTGTTGCAATTCGGCAACATGACCCGCATACGCACGGCGTGTATTGTCGACAAAGTGAAATTGTTGTGCCGTAGCGTTTGGAGGACGAGGATATCGATTGAATTTGGGGTTCTTTTTGTACTGTCCCGTGAAGAGTCCCAAAATGGAGTCTCCAAAGAATGCCACGTATTCGTATTGAGAAAGCCGTTGTGTTTTGTTTCCAATGCGCGGCATGGACGGTGGCGTAAAGTGTCTCCAGGGAGGTACCATGGACACGTTGTGTTGTACATGACACCAATCCAAGGCGCCTCGGGAGGCGTGTTTCCAATCCGACTTTTGTGTGACCAACCCCATGCCACAGGTAAATGTCAGATGAATGGTCAAGAATCCACTAGTAGTAGTAGTATCATTGATGAGCTGCTGTTCGTTTTTCCATTCCGGTACTTGAATGGGTGGTTCTACAAAGTCCAGCGCGTATTGGCCATTGCCCAGATCCGTGGGAATTGCCACATAATTGGGATGTCTCGTGATTTTGTTGTTGTTGTTTTGGATTGGGTCCGGAGTGGTGCGATTGCTGTTGGCATATGTGAATGTAATGTAGTATTCATCGCCTCCCATTGGCTTGGGTATTCCAGTTTGGTCCAAGCTTTGCAGCAGCCAAGTAACAGTAGTATGGTTGTGTTGCTGCACTTGCAATATTTGTACCTTGCCGGTGGGTGTGCAACCCACATATGTGTTGTTGTGCTGTTGATTGTGAGGTCGTGGATCCAGCAAACCGTCAAAGTTGGGAGACAGAGGTGACAGAGGAGAATGAGCCGTTTCATTGTAGAGTTTGTCAATGAGATATTGGGGAACTGTGGCTTCCAATACTAGTCGTCGCATCGCAACCGAAATATTCTTGCTGCCACTCCCTGACATGGCCCTACTGATGCTTGGAGCTGCAGCAGCACCCGCATTGGAGAGATAATCCACCAAGAATTGAGAGTCCAACTGGAAACTGAAACCCACGGCCGCGACAATGGCCAAACCACGGCAAACTGTTCGAAACATCATGACTCTGAAAGAGTGGAGAAGAATCTTTTTTATGCGAGAGATTGGCTTCTTCAAGAGCAAACTCTGTCAGTGCAGTTCAGCCACTCCGAGTAGCTACTAGTAGGTGAATAAATAACTGGAGGTTAACACTTGCGGTGAGCAGACTTGACTGTGGGAAACTCCTGGGCCTCGGCTCATGGGTTCGTCCTCAAGCATTTGTTGTCTGAATCGAATCCTTTTGAAATAGTCTTATTTAACTACTAGCTAGTAGACGTCTTCGGTCTAATGACAACGAAGAGTTTGTTTTGTTGAACTTGCTCGTGGGTCATGCATCTATGTCTCAACTGACCATATTTATGACCTTTCAATGACCGTCAGTCACAGGCTATTATTAGCCAGCATTACTGGCTAGCTATCAGTTGATGTCGTCTGGGCAGGTTACCTCCCGTTGTTTTGTTTGTTTGCCCGTCACATGGAGTTGGAACAGAAGTGCTAAAAGGGATTTTCTACCTACATCGCACCTCCTCCATGCTTGAGTCGAGCGAGTCACTCTCCACAGGTGGTCGGCCTCGCACCCCCAGCACTTCATTACCCCCACTATTGGTCTTGACAGTACCGGTACCGGTACCGGTACCATGCGCTCCTAGTCGTATGTCCGCACAAGGCAAAAAACTTGAGACATGACTTGAGTTTTTGAGATTTGACTCAAGTCAAGCATCAAGTAAGTCATGACCCAAGTTTTTGCTCTCAGCCCCTTGACTTGAGTCACCAAAATTTTGCCAAGTAACATGCTCAAATCATGGCAAAATCTAATTTTATGTTTTCAAACTATGACATTTTTGCCAAAGAAGGCACAACGCAAAAAAACAGGAAATCGACCACCTGCTTCTACTTGACAGAAGTACCATGTTGCCGTGTGGACAGGAGGGGTGTTGACTTGAGTTCTGGCTTGAGTCAAATCTCAAAGCTCAAGTCATGACTCAAGTTTTCAACCCTTGTGCGGACACTAGAGTAGTCTATATTATTACCATGCGCTCCTACGGTACCTCTGGAAGCAAGGACGGATGAAGAGAAAGCTGCAAAAAAAAAACAAGACAGATCTACAGGAAGATGCTATCTCGCTTCCCCAAGAACTGCCGTAGCTGTCCATGGTATCGTATTGGCGCCTACCGAAACAACAAATTGCAGGGATTCGGCTGTTAAATCCAAGGCTCTTCTTTTAAAGCAGTGTGATTATTGTCAGAGAGTGCAATTTAAGTAGACGTGCTGAAATTACATAGTGACACTGAAATCGCACTAAGCCCCGTGTTAATAAGCGTGATACGTGCTGAAATTACATAGGGTGACTGAAATTGCACTCTCTAAGTGACATTTCAGCTTGACAGTGAGATTTAAGCTCAAGACAATTCAAAGACTAAATTTGAGAGGTGTTAAACAAACAAATTGCTCTTTCAGTGAACGCCAATGTGGTATCCCGGAAAAGCAGTGTGATTACATGTAGGAAAATAGCTAGGAAAATCATGTTCATCAAGCATTTTCAGCTTCTGGAGCTAGCTAGCTAGCTAGCTAGCTAGTAGTAGCGGAAAGAAATAATCTGCTTTAGAAGAAGAGTTGGGGGAAAGGAAACAAGGCTTCCGGGGAGTCCAAACAGCCCATACCGGTACTCATGCCGGTAGCTCGGCAAACTAAGCTACTCGAGTATTCACAGTACCGGTACCGGCAGCTACTACTTTTTCTACTGTGGTTACTAGTTTTACAATACCCTCTGAAGAAGCTTGTTTTGAGAAGAGCGATGTTTCTACGAGTACTCTTCCGTGTGAAATGACCCAGTCACAACTGGATTCTAACCGTAGAAGCTCCATAATCCTTAGAAATCTTTAAGTCTCTTCTGCTCTTAATGACCTCGAGTCACTTCTACAATAGGGTAGTAATTAAGTACCAGTTTCTTGAATTGTCCATCTTGACATTGTTTTGTAAAGCGGATCAATCCACATTGCGATGCTGTCAACATGGAACTGCTTATTGATTTGGCCACCGACTCGACTCAACTCCAGAACCCAGACTGGGCAACAACTCCACCACCATCAAGGCATAGAGCCTCTCAGCGACACACCTTCGACTTCGTTGGTTCGGTTCAATCTCGTTGGCTGGACTACACTTTCTTTTACCAGAGTCGTGTCCTGCCACTCCAAAGGCTCAAGGAAAGAGTGAGAGATCAAAGCCCTCTTCCGCAACACAAAACAATGCTTTCCATAGCGGACGACTCGCAAGGCATGATGTTGGTGGCAGAGTTTTTCCGACTGCTCCAAGAAGACAATGTGGAAGATGATAGCATGATTAGTACTCTGACGGAAACACAAGACAAGGCGCTGTCGATTCTTCCCATCTTTTCGGGTCTCCTGAGCATGTGGGGTTCGTACAACATTATTGCCATGTACTGTTCCAGCGACCCAACCAAGCGCAACAATGTCTACCAACGCATCATGTTGGGTCTGAGTGCCAGCGACATGCTGGCATCCTTCGTCTTGACGCTGCATCCTTTCATGATTCCCGCCGCCACATCGCAACGCGCCTATGCCAGTGGCACCGATGCCACTTGTTCGGCCATGGGATTTTTCCAACAATTGGCATTTGCCGAAGTCTGGTACAATGGCATGCTCAGTTTCTTTTTTCTCTGGAAGATCAAATACAGCATGTCGCACGAACAAATGGCACGGCGAGAACCCTGGATGCATTCGCTAGCCATTGGATTCAATTTGATTACCGCCACTATTGGAGCGGCGTTGGGCATGTACGGGGAACTTGTCGTGGGACACTTTTGTTGGTTCACCGGAACAATGGGCACCTACTTTGCCTACTTTTGTGCCGCCGCGCCGTTCGCCTTTTTCATGGTGGCCATTTGTGTCAACAATCTACTCATTTACAATCATGTTCGAAAGTCACTGCAACAGCAGCAACAACAACAACAAACTACTACATCCTCCGCCGTCATTGTGCCGCTGTCCAATGCTAGTAGTAGCAACAATCATCATCATCATGATCCAGCAGCCGCAACGCGCACATCCACAGCAGAATCGGTGGCTGGAGAATCCTCGGCCACATCGGCCGATAGTGGCAATAGCGTTTTCAGTAATGAAGAAGTACGAGAACAACAACGAGAGGCGGCACGATTGGCGTATCAAAAACAACGACAACAAGAACGTCTGCGGGCCATTGCCATTCAAGCGTCTCTCTACGTGGGATCCTTTTTGTTGACGCATCTACCCACGTTCATTATTCGCATCACGTCGGCCATTGTCGGATTGTCACCCTCCAATGAAGGACAATTCTTTCCACTCTTGCTCATTCAAGCCATTCTGTTGCCACTCCAAGGACTCTTTAATTATCTCATTTACAGTCGGCCATTGCCCTATTGGAGAGAAGCATTGTAACGACATACACACATACGTCAAGACAATACACTCTTCAGATGGGTATGATGATCCCGCAGAGAGTGCTCCGCACAGACAATGGAATGCTTCCATTTTCATCGGAGGAGGAACTTCGAACACTGCAAAGACAATTCCTTTTACTCCACAACTAACTCCAGTCATGATGACAGCCTTGAGTTTTGACAAGCAATATCATTGCAACCGCAACTTTGGTACTGCACTACAAATGACAGCTCTAGCTCTACGTCGTGATCGATGAATCCAACGATACCGGTACACTTCGCCTCCAAACAAACTACTGGTGTCAATCTACTCCCTACAGTGGTGTACGTACGGTCTTGAAAAGAGCAGAACACGACAACAAGCGGAAGAAGTAAATGCAAAATGTCTTGAGACAGAAGAACGACACCGTCTTGGTTGTCGTTATTCTGTCCTCGCGCTCCGTGGAATACGAAGAGAATCGAATCTGCAAGAGTCGAGTGACTCGACTCGACTCAGTCCTTCTGGCTTCCCACTGCATGCTACTAGTAGTAGAATAGTACGGTAGGAGTGTACTAGTAGCTGATCCATGATGCAAGGTCCTTCCTGCCTTTCAATACCCTTGGTGTTCTCGCTACATGCCGAGCCTGATTATAGTATAGTATATTCGTCACCCAAAAAAGAATGGGCTATCTGGCTGTGGGAACCGCGTTCCTTCATGCTTGCATTTCAGCAGCTGATGCCCGGGATCTTTGGTGCTGCTACATGTAGCTAGAGAATATAATCCGCGTAGTCTTTTAGGATTTTGACCGTCAATCAATCTATCTATCTTCGTATTATCTTTTATGTCGCAGCCCTTGCATTTCATTTCACCACACGGACATGAGCAATAAAATAAGTCACTGCCAAGTATGTCTGTATTCGTATTCATCCCCAGAGTCAAAAGATAGATGAATGGATCGTCACAATACCGGTAGCTTGGACCACAGTTCCAGATGTCTGCATCCAACGGGATCCCCTTTCCAAGATTGTAACTCATGAATCCATTGCACAAAATAATGTTGGAAAAAATTGGTATGTACAAAATGGCACTACTCTGTCGACAAACTGATGCTGTATTGCTTTTTACAATGTTTTGTACAATGATCCATACTATGACTAGCTAGCTAGAACAAAATAAATACATCAACAAATGAATAAAAGAAAATCGCATATTTGATACATATCTATATTACTATTGCCTCGTACAAGCGGTCAATGCAATGACATTGTCTGGCAACAACATGTCGGCGGGTCGCAAATGGCTGCTCTGCCGATAGACCGTTTCGACATGTTCCGGTGTGACCATGGCATGTACCATGGCGAGACATTCAATGGCATTGCGGACTCGCGCCACGGCCATGCGATCGTCTTGCAGCAAGGGCGTCGATGCGTGTTCTTGTCGCAATCGTTCGTGTCGATCTTCGTCGCGATCATTTTCGGCTTGTGCGACATTATTATGATAGCCTTGCAACGCACTCAATTTGCGTTGAATCCAAATTTGTCCATTGACGCCCCAGACGACATCGACTTGATCTAAAAAGTCCGTGTAGTAGTGATTTTTACGACGCGGCATCAATGCGGGTGGAACACACGTGTGGGTGCCATAGGAGAGTTTTCCGTACCGCATCGATCGCGTGTGCAAGAGGAGACTGCCATCGTTGGGGTTGATTTTGTGCACTTCGGCCGAAATCCAATCGCCTTCTTGCAAATGTTGTCGCATATCGCGTTGATCTTGGGCCGTTCGCACGCGTTGGACCCCGCCCGGTAAGACCATGCCCGTCAGCGGCAATTGCGCTTCTCTTTGACCACTGCCACACAATGCTACTTTCCACCGCGTCGGGCCCACGGCCGTGACTTGTCCCACGACGAGATCTCCCACTTGTCCATCGTAGACGCCCGAGGATGCTGGAATGACTGTGATGAGTTTGTTGACCCGATGGACAATCCCCACCACACTGGCTACGAGCCGTTGTTCGGCTTCGTTGGTGCTGGTGTTCGTCACGCGTTCCAAATACGTGCCGTGGCCTTTCAAAAACGAGTCTTCGCCATCAGTTCCCACAGAGGACGACGACGAGGCAATCACTTGGCCAGGGACTACCAAATGAAGGGATGTCATGGTCCAAACAAAGAGATTAATCGAGAAAAATGAAGAAGAAAAGTGCAATGGCTGTGGGCGTCTTGTCTTTGGGTGGATCCTGGGTTTGGGGTTAGAGTTTAGTGACACCACCATGACGTCAGCCACAAAAATGGATCTTTTCAAAGATCCCTTCTCTCGAAATGAGCCAACCATGGACAAAGATGTTGTGACGCTGGAAACAATAGTCTTCTCCAGCAGCTGCCCCATTCGACGCTACAGCTCTGGTTGGCTTTCTTCATCATCTTGGAGCGGAATAAAGACGAATAATACGGTCACAATCAAACTAATAGAAAGTTTGAAGTAACCAACCACCATGAAGTTTCTTTCTGTTTTCTTGACACTGGCGTCGCTTGCCTCCTTGGCAACGGCGTACACCGTTCCAGAACCACCCAAGGCCACTACCACAACCACTCGTCGCGACTGGTTGGCCGCCACTACTACGACTCTTGCCACTACATTGGCGTTTGGTTTGCCAGCCAACGCCGCCGAAGATCTCACGACATTTAATGACCCCACACACGGCTTTAGCATTCGCGTTCCTTCGTCGTGGGCGAAATCGGAACAAACCCTCAACGATCGTCGCACCATTGCCGTCTGGGGCGACCCCAACGATGCCAAGACGGCACTCTTTATTGCCTACACACCCGTGCGGGACGATTTTACATCTCTACAGAGTTTTGGGGCCGTCGATCAAGTCGCCGCACAAACCATTTTGCCCAAATCGAGTTTGATGATGAACGACGACTCCGTCCAAGCGGAAATGATCAAAGCCGAATCCAAAAAACAAGCCTACATTTTTGACTACACCCAGGCGGTCGCCAAGATTCAACCATTGACGCATTTTCGAACCATTTTCACATTGCAGCAAGGTGCCACGGGAGGTGCCGGGGCCGTATTGGTGACCATTACACTGCAAACTCCAGAAGAACGATATACGTCCTCTCTCAAGCCACTGTTTGATCAAATTATTGACTCGTATGGGAAGAATCAGTAATAAAAATAATAGTGAAACTGGAAGAAGAAAGCAAGCGTGACAGAGAGAGAGAGAGAGAAAGGAGTTGGAACAATCAATGGAGAAGCAAGCAAGAAAGCTAATAATAACAATCCGCAAGCAAGAAATCAAACCAATTTGAGCATCAAGCAACCTGCAGTTATCGGAATTCTCCCTTTGTAGTCAGTCATAAGAGTAGCCAAGCAGAAAATCACTAAATCAGACTATTATTATACCTCAAAAGGCTCAATTCAACTTCAGGTGGGGAGCTACACTACCTAGTATAAGTGTTACAAAGGAGGAGCTGATCGGAGCAATCCAGAGATGATCACATGTCTATGGTACTGTATATTGGATAATGTAGGCGACGCAGCAGAGGATTGATGTTCTTGGAACATTGCTGGTGACAAGCAAAGGATGTCAACGACAGCCATGATGGCCAGCCAATACAGTAGCAAAGGAATGGATTCCGCATTTTTCACTGGAAAGTGTGGCAAAAGCTGAATTCGGCGATGGTGACGTAACTGTTTAAAAGGAAATTTCCCGGTATCAACTGCTTAATTCTTCGAGTAACTGTTGACTTTTCGAGAAAACTGTTGAATAAGCCGTCAACAGCTGTTGAAAAAACTGTTGAATTTTGCTCAACAAGTGTTGAATAGGTGTTGAATGAAGTGTTGACTGTTGAACTTAGTGTTGAAGAAAGTGTTGAAGCTGCTGTCGATGTTTCCAAAGTCAAAGCAATGGCAATCTAGTCAGATACGAAGAGGCTGCTGGTGTTGTTGTTGAGAGAGTAGCAAACAATAGCTGTGACTGCTTCGAAGCAAGCCTTGTGTTGATCTTGAAAGTCGGTGCCTTGCTCATACCGAAACACGGTGTCGAGCACCTTCCACTTCTTCAGCAGATTGTTGAATTCTTCTTGTCGCGATTGGGCTCTATCTTTGAACTTGGAGAGCTCTTTGGGATCAAACTCGTTGTTAGTTGAGACGATATCCTCTTCGGCCTTGACTTGGAAGATACCATCAGCAAGGATTCTCAGACCTGGCTCCTTTGAATGTTGCTCGTTGTACACTCTCATTGTAGGAAAGAGTTTCAAACGAGCAACCTCGAGATCGTTGTGTTTGCCTGGCGGAGTTGGACCATACAACCAAACAAGCTTTGCTTTGTGGATACTCAGTCCGACTTCGTAGTTCAACGCAGCTTTCCCCCCAAACTTGTGGCTTGACCAATCTTTTGAGAAAGGACGAGGCTCTTCAATCCGACAATGTGTCCCATCGACAGTCATGAAGAAGATGAATCCTTCATCTGCTTGCTCCCAACTGATAGTCTTGTCTTTCAGTAGCAGCTGAATTTTGCGAACGAAGGCGTCGGTCCACGTTTTGATGGTGTGCTTGCTGCCAATCTTGAAAAGAATCATCAAATCATCTTGAGTATCATTGGTGTTGAGGTATCGAAGAGCAAGAAGAAAGTATCTGGTTGGCATCGACTTTGTTACCTCTCCACGAATCACAAGATCATTCCACATTTGCGAACAAGTCAATGTAGCCGCTCCGAATGCCTTTCGAAATCGCTCTTGATTTGCGCCTTCTTTCAAGTACTCCCAATGATTTTTCCCCCTTGTTATGTCAAGCCCGATGGCCAGGAACTCTGCCGGTGTCATTTTCAATGATTCCTCTGCCATCGTCTTTACAAAGGTTTGTCTCGTGTTGTGGTTTTGTGGTTGAAAGAGCTATCGTGGAAGGCTTTGACGATTGACCGAAACTTTGATCTCGAAAGATCCAAGATATCAGTCGTGCATGGTAAGGAATCACCCGGCGTTTTGAGCCCGGCACAAGCAAAAAATTCCTCCCGCTTAAATCAAATCCATTTAATATCTAAGTACTTGCCGGCCAGCCTTGAATGAACTTCCTAAGATCCGTAGATAAAGTGGTGGGAAAGAATCTTTCCCACAATTTGAGTGAAAAGAAACCAATGCGCCTATCTTTCTCCGATCGTTCTCCGATCGTTCTTTGTTTGCACTGTTGGTATCAACGGATCCATAACCATTATAGAAGCAATAGTAGCAGCAACCAATAGCCGACAAGATGCAAACTAGAAGCGGAAATCAGCATAAATCAGAGGCTACTCAAAAGCCCAAGGTAAACGATGAGGAGGAACCTTCGGTAGCAGCATCGGTAGAAACAAACTCAAGCAAGAAGGGAGCGGCAGACATCCGTGACGGACGCTCAAAAGAGCCAGATATTGCTTGACATTGAAAAGAATCCTGGTATTCTTTGGAAAGGTTTGTTGAAGCAATACCCCGTCTACTACAAGCTTGGCGAGCCATTCCAAACAGCATTCCGGAACCGCTACAACTACCTCAACTCGATCAAGGAGAAACATCCACAGCGTTATTGGGAGCTCTACGCAAAAGCTGGAGAGACCATTGCACGATCTATCTCCGAATCGGGCAGCTACCGAGAGACCAAGGACGTCATTGACAAAGAAGCCAACACGACCAATCAAGAGCCTGAGGCTGAGCCTGCAACTGTGGAGCGCCAAGACGGTACAGTGGTATCATCACTGACGGATCCTACCTACGGAGCTACGCCCACAAAGAAGAAGATTCTCTTCAAGAAGCAGTACACCCCCAACAAAAAGAAACCAACCCCCCAAAGCACACCAGTACGGAAGAACCTCACAATGCCATCCAAGGCTTCTAGCTCGAAGAAGTCCGGTGGATCCAAAGGTTCTGGCTCCTTTGGCTCTCCGGCCGCCAAGCGTCAGAGCAAATTCAGCTCACTTGATGAAGCGCAGCAGTTTGCCGACGAGACAATCCAAGTTGATTTTGATTTCCCGGAGAAGAATGGAGGTCCCCTCATTTGGGTCCAGCTCATCACGGAGTGTACAACATCAGATGGGTCGACAATGTATGACAAAGTCGACATTCGTCTTGCGTCGATCTTTGACTTGTCAGATGCTCACCAAATCTATGGAGGGACAGTTTGTGAAGGCCGAGCCTTTCTGTTGCGCTTGCCATGGGTGCCCAACTTCATCCTTCGCAACCACAAGCAGATGCTGAAGAAAGAGAAGAAGAAGTGTGGTCGTACCAAGAAGAAGCTTGCTGCAGCTTGCAACGCCATTCTCAAGTCCCAAGAGGATGACAACGACATTGCGCCTCGCCGTTGGAAACACGTGCTGTTTGTCTTTCCGGATGAGATGGTTGTCACGTCTGACATGAAAACCGGCATGATTCCCATCACCGATCAGAAGATGCTGCTGAACCTCCGATTCTTGGATATCAAGAAAACTGTTGTTGGAGAAGGAGAAGACGAAGAAGTGATGGAGCAAGCTTTCTTTCCCTCGTTCTTTTCCCTCCGTGTCATTGATGAAGATGGTGAGAATGAGCTCGACCTCAAGAAGCCGAAGAAGAAAGGGTTGGCTCTAAAGAAGTTGTTCAAGGGCATGCAGAGGTCATTGCCATTTCCCCCTCTTGCTATATGTAACATGACGTACCCACATGTTTGTGTGGTGTCCGTTTGTGGTATGCCTGCTCGCTGATTCGGAATACGTAACTCAACCGATAACCCTCTCCCTTTCTTTTTTCTTTTCCCTCCCCCGCGCTGCTGCCTAACCCCCCCATAATCTCCCTCGCGCGTCGATTGGTGCAGGAGGCAGGAGCCAATGCCACCCTACCGGTACCTGGTACCGCATGCCAAACTCCCCCTTCTGGTCCATCACTCACTTGCCCGCGTCCTTCTAGCTAGTAGAATTGTTGTCATAGCTAGATATAGGCAATGTCACCGCAATCTGGCAGAGGACAAGCCCCAGGTAACCCCGCCCATAGCCTGCGCCAGGCACAAGGAGATGGCCATGGCTGTGACTGTCACCTACTTCTTCTTGCTTCACCGCGTCTACATGTATTCACGAAGCAAGCAAAGCAACAACGTCGCGACTAAGCAGCACTTGCTTGTGGCAGCCACCGTACCGGTACCGGTATCGCACCAAGCCAAAGTCCAGCTGGATAGATCCTACCCAGAAACTTCCAAGCATCACTCTAACTCTGTACAATATGATAGCTTCTCCGAACTAAATAAAACTGCCTAGCCTGGAGCAGTACAGTACCGATTTGATTTCTGCAACCACAAAATAACTCTTCTTCTCTCTGGATTGCGAGCGAAGAGTCGATCGGGCTATGGATCCCATGGAAACCGACTTCAGCGTCTGGAGAACTTCAGCTCTGTTGCTACCGTTGGACAGCAGCAGGCAAGCAGCAGCGACACACACCTTTTGCAACGTGTGATAGATCCTCCTTATTGTTTATTCAATAGGAAGAAATTCTCTCTCCGGGTCTATGTTGTCGGATTGGAGCAACCTCTTACGTGCCAAAGGATGTGATTGTGAAGTTCGCTAAGGATGTGACTGCAGCGGAACAACACACGACGAACTCAGGAGCGCCTGAAAACGGGACTCGCGAGCACCTCTTCCGCGAATCCGCGACTCGCGTGCGGCCGCGGCGCGAATCCGCGAGCGCGGCCGCGAATAACCGCGAATAACCGCGAAAATCCGCGAGATTTAGGATGCCACTTTTAAAAGATATAGAGGAGCTGGTTCTTAAATCTCGCGGATTCTCGCGGTTATTCGCGGTTATTCGCGGATTGGCGGATCGTTTCGTGGATCGCGGATTCGTGGAAAACCGCTAAATCCGCGGATCGTGCCACGATTCGCGGATTATCAGCCACTCCAGGCAGAGGTAAAAGCCATGTTTCCAAGCTGGTTTTGGTGCGCTTCGTGACGAAAATGACCTGTGGTAGCGATTTATGACTATCCAGTTACCAGATTACCAGATTACTAAAATCAACCACACAACAACTACCAAGTAGTAACACACAACACTATAGCAACCTCTTTATCAACACCACCATCAGCCTTTTTCGGCTTATCAGGCGTGGAAGCTACTAGAGAAGAACAAGCGATCGGTCGTTGCGAGCGACAAGACAAGAAGAAGAAGAGCCGTTCGTTCGTTCGTTCGCTCGAGCGCCATTGTCGCGATCGGCCGTTCGACAAGCACAAGAAGAAGAGCCGTTCGTTCGTTCGTTCGTTCCAAGCTACCGTTCGAACGACGACGAGAAGAAGACGACGCGAACGCCATTGTCGAAGAAGATACCGTTCGTTCGAAGCGACGGCCATATCCCATTGTCGTTCGCAGAAGAAGAAGAAGGAGCCTGTTAACAGACGGTTCATTCGTTCGTTCATTCGAAGCAGCGCCATTGTCGCCGATTCGAAGCTACCGATTCGGAGCTACCGTTCGAACAGAGGAAGAAGAGAAGGAAGAAGACCTCCAAGCGGCATAGCAACAGAAGACCTCTCAAGAAGAAGGGGCTCTCTCAAGTGGAGCGAGAGATAGAGACTTCCAAGTGGGAAGCAGAGGTTTGGACTTGGAATATTGATCCAAACCGTAGTGTCTGAGTCCTTCTCAAAGCAAATCCCAGCGTCGTCCTACGTTGGAACTTCTCTTGGCTGAACTGCTCGGCAGCTTCGCAAGTGGCATGAAGCCGCAATGGCTGGATTTGGGATGGTACCACCTGGTTTCCTCACGTTTCTCGCAGATGCTCTTGAGATCAGCATCGGTAAAGTTATAGAGTGAGACGAAGGCATCCAATCCTTGATCATTCAATGCCGTCCTCGTGGCTAATTCGCGAATACCGATGTATTCTGTAATAGTTGTTCATGGCTGCAATATGCCTGCGCATATTCGCCTCCAATTACTTCTTCTTTGCGGTATCACTCTGGATGAGCAACAGTTGTTGGGTTTTCTTCTCTGCTTCCTATTCCAACAGCTAAAACTGTACACACCCAGAAAAGTTAAGGCTGTATTCCACAGAATGTAGCTCTGCACACCCAGTCTTTGGCAGTCTAGGCCAAAAATCTTGGATCAGGGTCCCCCTCCTTGGCTCAACGGATTTCATTTGGTGAACAATGAGGCAGGAATTGATCCAGACTGGAGGGT